AATTGTACGGTTGGCGATTCAAAGTAAAAAAGATGAAGCTGTCTACTCCAAAATTTGACACACACACACACAGAAACATAGAGAGACAGAGATAGATAGATAGATAGATAGATAAATTGAGAGAGAGAGAGAGAGAGCGATATGTAGAGAGAGAGAAAGGTAGATAGAGACTCTTAGAAGCCCTAAGGAGTTCTAGTTTACCTGTCTGGGTTGCTATGAATCAGAGTAGAGTCTATTCACAGTGATTTGGCTTTGAGTTTTTGCCTTGATTTTGCTGTATTGCCAACTAGCAAACCCACCATGGCTTTTGTGCTGCTAAACGCAAAATTAATGATCATTTATGCTAACAAGGAGCTTTGGTGGCACAGTGGTTAAGCACTGGGCTGCTAACCAGAAAGGTGGGTGGTTCCAACCCATCAGCCACTCTGCGGTAGAAAGATGTCAATGAATCTGCAAAACACCTCATAACGTGGAGGAACCTTGAGGACACTGTGCTGAGTGAAATTCGTCACTTGCAAAGGGACAGATATTGGATGAGACCACTACTGAAAACAGTCAGGAAACAGTTTTCATTCTATAATCAATGCTCTACTTTGGTTACCAGGGGAGGGAAGGAAGGAAGGAAGGATTATTCACTGGCTGGAGTGCAGACACGTGTTAACTTGGGTGACAGGGAAGACAGTTAATAATAATCATAAAAAAAGGAAATTGCTTTTCTTTTTAAAAAATTCATGTGCTTGAAGGGCAACAATGTATATTTATTTTCTCATCAGGACCAACCACTGGGAATTTTTCAACAAAGGAAAAAAGAAAAGGAAAGTGGGGTGAAGGGAGAAAAGACTGGAGAGAAGAAAAAAGATTCGGAAAGGGAGAGTAAGGATGGTTCTGCAGGTGGGGAGTGTGGCTGGGTTGAGTATATAAATGTTGCAATGGCAAATCTTTTGTTGTGTTTATATTGCTACAATAAATAATCGATTACAAACAAAACACCTTAGACAAACAAAATTGCAACCTTGGCAACTTTACGGGCAATCCTGCCTATGGGATGCTATGAGTCCAAATCTTCTCGGGGGTGGTTACAATTTCACAGAGCTAGGTATACACAGGTGTATGCTGTTGTTGGTGATAAGTGCTGTTGAGTCCGTTTCAACTCATGGCAACCCTGCATATGGCTGGTAGATTTGAACTGCCTACTTTGTGGTTAGCAGTCCAGTGCTTAGCCTATAGTTTCACACCAGGACTCTATACAGATGTATAGACAAGTGTATACAGCATCCCCAGTTTGTCAGTTTGTCGCACTATGGTGGCTGTGTGTTACTGTGATTCTGGAAGCTATGCCATTGGTATTTTAAATAGCAGCAGGGTCATCTGTGGTGGACAGGTTTCAGCTGAGCTTCCAGATTAAGTCAGACTACGAAGAAGAAGAGACCTGGAGTTAGAAAATGTGCAAAGACTTGGAGTTAGAAAACCAATGGGGAAGAACATGCTCAGCATTTCTCAAGCTTAAGGAACTGAAGAAAAGATTCAAGCCTCAACTTTTAATAGTGAAGGAGGATTCTATGGGCAAAATATTGAACGATGCAGAAAGCATTTAAAGACGATGGAAGGAATATACAGCATCACTGTGCCAAAAGGAAGTGATCAATGTTCAACCATTTCAAGAGGTAGCACATAATCAAGAGCCAATGATACGGAAAGAAGAAACTGGAAGAAGTCCAAGGTGCACTGAAAGCACTGGCAAAGAACGAGGCTCCAGGAATTGATGGAATACTAATCGAATGCTTTCAACACACTGATGACGCACTGGAGGCACCCACTCATCTATGCCAGGTAACTTCGAAGACAGCTACCTGGCCAACTGACTGGAAGAGATCCAAATTTGTGCTCATTCCAAAAAGAGGTGACCCAACGGAATGTGGAAATCATCAGATAGTATCATTAATGTCACATGCAAATAAAATTTTGCTGAAGATAATATGAAAATGGTTGCAAGAGTACATTGATAAGGAACTGCCAGAGGCTCAAGCCAGGTACAGATGAGAACGTGGAACGAGGGATATTGTTGAAGTCAGGTGCATCTTGGCTGAAAGCAGAGAGTATCAGAAAGATGTTTACCTGTGCTTTATTGACCATGCAAAGGTTTTCGATTGTGTAGATCATGACAAGCTATGGACACCATTGCAAAACACTTAATTGTGCTCGTGAGGAACCAGTACACAGCCCGAGAGGCAGTTGTTTGAATAAAACAAAGGAACATCAAATGGTTCAAAATTGCTCCAGGGTTGCATTCTTTCACCATACTTATTCAATCTGTATGCTGAGCAAAGAATCGGAGAAGCTGGTTTATACCAAGTAAAACATAGTATCAGAATTGGAGAAAAACTCATTAACAATCTAAGCCATGCAGATGCTACAACCTTGCTTGCTGAAAGTGCAAAGGACTTAAAATACTTAATGATGAAGATTGAAAACCACAGCCTTAGGTATGGATTGCACTTCAATGTAAAGAAAACAAAAATCCTCACCACTGGACCAACAAACAGCATCAAGATAAATGGAGAAAAGATTGAAGTTGTCAAAGACTTCATTTTGCTTAATCAACCATCAACACTCATGGAAGCAGCAGTGAAGATGTCAAACAGCATATTGCACTGGGCAAATCTGCTGCATTAGACCTCCTTAAAGAGTTCCAAAACAAAAACAAACAAACAAAAAGTTCCAAAACAAAGATGTCAGTTTGAGAACTAAGGTGCGCCCGACCCCCAGTCCTGGTATTTTTAATAACCTCATATGCATGTGAAAGTTGGACGTTGAGTAAGGAAGACCGTAGAAGAATTGATGCTTTTGTGTTATGGTGTGAAGAAGAATATTAAAAGTACCATGGACTACCAAAAGAACAAACAAATCTGTGTTGGAAGAAGTACACCCAGAATGGACCTTGGAAGCCAGGAAGGCCAGACTTTGTCTCTCATATTTTTGACATATTATCAGGAGGGAAGATTCCCTGGAGAAGGATACCATGTTTGGTGAAGTGAAGGGTCAGAGAAAAGAGGAAGACCCCCAGGGAGATGGATTGGCACCGTGGCATAGGGCTCAGGTGTAACGAGGATTGTATGGTTGGCGCTGGACTGGGCAGTGCTTCGTTCTGTTGTGCGCAGAGTCGCTATGAGTCACAGCCGACTGCATGGCTCTAACAACAGAAAGCAGTGGTGTGCTGTAGGGTACAGTAGACCACAAGGTCAGTTGGGACTGCAAGGCCAGGGCTTCAAAACTTACCGTTGCTCCTCGGAAACCCCATACTAGGTAGGTGACTCAGTGGCATTTAACAACTCACAGACGTCTCAGGGGTGGTGCACGAGTGGGACTCTCAACCCAGGGATGTGAGAGAGTAATGCCAAGAGAAATGAGGGAAATGCCAAGGGTGACACAACAGAGGCTCAGGGATGGAAAGGCACCTTCCAAGTGGGTAGAGAGCTGGACTTTAGTGGGTGGGCTGTGGCTGGCTGTAGGAAGACGCCAGGGGAGGTGGGGTGGTGGCTAGGGGGCGGGGGCTTTGGGGGTGTCTCTGGGCTGTGGAGGGAAGGGTACAATTGAAGCTAAGTCCTGAGAAGAGGCAGTAAGGGGCTCAGGGCCTGGATGGGGGTGAGCTCAGGTTGGGGAGAGGGCAGCAGGGGACCCAGCTCAGCATGGTGATAGGGGGCATGTGACCAAGGACCCAATGGCAGTGTTCTTCCTGACTCTTGGGGCTGCCCCAGTGGGCGTGTCTCCTGGGGACTCGGGGTGGGGACTATGGGCTATAGAGCCAGAACCTCCCAAGGACACGGCTTATCGGGACAGCAGGTGGGCATCACAGAACCGTCTCTGCCTCCTGAACTGAGCTCTCAGAGGGGCTGTAGGGTTGAGTCTCCCCATCCTGATTCCCATTTTATAGGTGTGGAAACTGAGTACAGCCTGTGAAGCCCAGCAGACCACCTTCCTGGGCAGCCAACTCACACTCACCTTATAGCTTATACGTGACTGCAGCGGGTGAGGGAATGCTCATCAGAGACCATATCCCTGATGTTTCGCAGCACCTTGTGAAAAAATTTATTTTTAAAATTATATACAGTGAGCTTACTCAGATTTAGGGTCTGGATTCTCTGTGTTTGGAAATCAGAGTAACACCTGCCCAGATGGGGCAAGCTTCGGGGCTCTGCATGCAAATCCGCGCAGAACAATGCAAATGACTGCCAATCTGCAGCTGTGGTTCTGCCCCAGCCCATCACCCACCTGGCTGCCTCTCTACCCAGTGGTCTGCAGAGGGCGGACATGAGGCAGGGCAGCCTACTGCCCAGTGGCCTTGGCAGACTGGACAAGGTCTGGGCTGGTGAGGGAGGTCAGCAGGACAAAGACTGAGGATGCCCTAGGTGGCCTGCATGGATTTTGTGCTATACTGCCCAGTGGAGTCCATGCCCACCTGCACTCCAATGAGAGGCTTGTTCACAGCTTTGAAGCCTGGGTCAGGGCCTGACTCCCTACCCACAGCCCCTCCTCAGTTCTACACCGCCCCCTGCCCCAACCTGGGAAGCATGGAATCCATTCTCTCTCTCCCAGACCCTTCCTGTGGTCAGAGTGGACGCGTGTCATCAGGTCCTGGTGACCAACTGGGGTGGGAGGACTGTCAGCAAGCAGGACTAAGCCCTTAGTAACGAGTGGCCAGATGACGTTCCTGACTGGGTCTTGGAAGGAGACAGCCCCCACTCCAGTGGGCGTTACAAGCAATCAGACAGCACACCCCGCCCCTGGCCTGTGACCGTGGCCACCACACACTCACACAGCACCCCAAGGTGTGCGGTGCTCGGTGGCCAAGGAAATGGCCAGGGCCTGTTCCCAGAGCCCCCTAGCATCTCTGTTCAGAGAACGAGGCCTGTCCACCACTGTGGGCATCAAACTGAAAGTCTTTATTAAGTGCCAAGAATCCAGGCAGGCGCTGCCGTGCAGTCCCGGCCGCCCAGGGGCGGTCACTTCACGTGCTCCGCGGCGTGGGAGGAGCAGTAATACTTCTTGTGGGCGATGAAGGTGGACAGGCTGCTGAATTTGATGTTACACAGGCGGCAGTACCTGGCATTGCCGTTGGGCACTGGCGCCGGTGGCCCTTTACCGGGGGTATGCGCGCCCTGGTCCGAAGGGGGTGCCGGGGGCGCGGGCACTGGCGAGAGGCCACGGGCCGGCGTGGCGGCCGGGGACGCGGGCGGGCCGGGAAGGGGGCTGCCGGCCGCCGGCTCCGCGGACTCCTGGCCATTGAGGCTGTCCCGGGGGACTCGCGGTGGAGGGGAGGCGGGCGGCGTCCGGGCCTCGGGCCTGCCCACCAGCAGCCCGTGCGCCCGGCGGAGGTGTTGCAGCAGGTCGCCGCGCACCAGGCCGTTCGTGGGGCAGTAGGGACACACAACGGCGGCGGCAGGGGGCGCGTCGTCGGGCGCGCGCAGGCCGCGGAGCTGCGCGGCGGGACACGAGAACTTTTTGTGTGTCAGATAGGCGTCGAGGCTGTGGAAACTCACGCGACACGCCGTGCACTCGTGGTAGTCGGCCAGCGGTAGCGGCGGCGGCGGCGGTGGCGGAGGCCCGGGTGCGGTCTCGGGGCCGTGGCGTCGTGGCTTTTTGCTCAAGTCGATGGGGCCATCGGCGGGTCCGGGAGACACCGGCTGCTCGGCCGGCAGTGGGTGGGCGGGGCCGGACGCTGGCGGGGGCGGGGCTCCGGGGGTGTGCAGCTCATAGAGCTTGCGGCGTCTGCGCGTGCGCACGGTTGGCTGCCCGCCTGTGCTGGCCGTGGTTGCGGGTGGCCTGCGAGGCGGCGGGTCGTGCCGTGAGGCGCAGTAGTATCGCTTGTGCACTGTGTAGGTCTCGTGGCGGCTGAAGCGAATGTTGCAGGCCTCGCACAGCGTCCTGCTAGGGTCGTCCTCCGCGTCGTCCACCGAGCTGCCGGGGCTCTGGCTACCCTCGCTACCTCGGCCAGCAGCCTCAGCCTCAGGAGTCGCCGCTTGCGCCCCCGGCCCAGAGCTGGTCTCCTCGTCTCTCGCGTCGGGGCTGGGCGGCGAGCGACCTGCATCGGTCTCGGGGGCCAGTGGCGGCGATGGCGCAGTCTGCTGAGACCCGTGGGGAGCGGGCGCGGGCGCGGGCGCGGGTCCTTTGGGCCTGCGCGCGCCTGGCACATCCTCTGCCTGGTGACGTCCGGAGCAGTAGAGTCGCTTGTGCACGTAGTAGTTGTTTATGTTATTGAAGGTGATCTCGCACTCGAAGCACGTGGCGCCCTTGGGGGCGGGAGTCCCCGGGAACAGCCCCGGCGCGCCCTGGCCCTGTTTGAGCCGGCTGTGCACCAGCTCGGACATCTTGGCCAGGATCTCCGAGGCCTGCGGGACTGCATCCGCGCCGAACACGAACTGTGGCAGGAAAAGCGGCCCGGTTGGCGCTCCCAGCTCTCCGGGCGCGGGGCTGCAGGCGGGCGAGGGGCTGGTACGTTCGGCCTTGACACGAAGCGTCGGGAGGCTGTGCGGCGATGGTGTGCGCGAGGGGGCCCGGGGCGCCGGACTTGAAGCCTGTTCGGCCTCGGGCTCCTCCTCCGCCTCCACTTTGATATCTCGGGGGGCGGGGGGCTCGCCACCGTTCTGGGGGGCCGCACAAGCTTCTCCATTTGTGGTTTCCATCAGGGGCTTCCTCTCTAGCCCTGGCGACCTCGTGGGCACTAGGTCTGCAGTGGCTAGGGCGCCGGGCAAGGCCGCAGGCTGCGGGAAGCCAGCCAAGCTGTCTGTAAGATACCGCAGAGCCCCCCATCAGGCCAGAGCGGGGTCCAGACCTTGGGGGTGGGGTGAGGGGGTAGGCCTAGAAGGGGTCTGGTGGGGAGGGACTGCTCACCTGCCGGGATCTTGGCAGTCGGGTACCCAACAGAGTAGAGCTCACCCTTGCAGCCGGGCTGGCAGATCATGTGACTGGTCACCAGGTGGCTGTAGAGGATGTCCCTTGTGGTGGAGATGAAGCCGCAGCTATGACATATGCCTGCAAGCAGCCTATGGGGGTCAGAGACTTGGGCGGGGTGTGTCGTCCCACCATGGCCTCCCACCTCCACCCCTGCCGGCCCACCTACCGCTCAGTGTGTCTGTGTGCACCTTTAGGTGCCGTTCACAGTTGGCTTTGGTGGTGAAGGCCGATAGGCAAATCAGACACACGAAGGGGCGCTCTCCTGGAAAGACAGGGCGCATGAGGGGGCTGGGTGCCGAGGAAATCGCAATCTTCCGGGACCCTTGCAGGGTCCACAGCCTGTGGGAGAAGCTCCCCCCGACCCCACTCCCGGTACACAAGAGGTTTTTCATGAAAGTCCCTCATGTTCCTGAGTTAGCTTTCCTGAGGATGCAGTTTTCCGAAACCGTGGACATGGTGGACGTATATGGCTGCGCTAAGACGCACTACTTTAAAAAGCAGTGGTGTCCAGGAGTGGGGTGGGGGCGCGTAGGTACGTGGGAAGTAGGTGGGTGGGGCGCTAGGCGGACTGGCTCACCGCTGTGGCTGCGCATGTGAATTTCCAGTGAGCTGGCGCTGGGGCAGCTTTTGCGGCACTGGGGGAAGGGGCAGACGCGCTCGTTGGGGTAGGTCTCCTTGGGCTTGTCCTCAGAGGCGGCGGGAGAGCATGCGCTCTGGCGGCTGGCACAGTAGTAAAGCAGGTGTGCCTGCAGGTTGCGCTCGCTGCGATACCAAATGCCGCAGTCCTTGCAGGGAAAGATGTCTCCTGTGGGCGAAAAGGGCGGAGCAGCTCATCACCTGAGGCCAAGCCCGGTGCTGCATGAAGGCTCCAACGCCTCTGTGGTCTACGGCCTCCATCTCTTCAACCTTGAAGCGAGCAGAGCAGCTCTCCTGGCCCCAGCTTTCCTTCATGAGGTTGTGACTCACCCCCGCTTCCTGTCCTTTATCCCCAGCCTCCATTTCTACAGATTCCCAGGTACCCCGGAACCCGCGTGGAGTTAAGATGTAGAACCACAGCCTCCATGTGTACCTTCCAGAGCCCCATAGAAGCCGCTCTGGTCTCAGAGGGGCCTGCCCCGGGGTGGGGGTGGGGGTGGAGGACACACGGGACACGGGCCTGTGTAAGGCTGAGAGGGGGCGCTGCTGGGTGTGGCCAGGGGACACGTGTGTGCACACTGAGGTCTGTGTGAACAGGTGTGTGAGTGAAGGGATGTAACTCGTGTGGCCAGGGCTCGGGGTGTCATTACATTTTTACAGCAGTTTCCTAAAGAAGGGTCCCTTGGTCTCTGCCCCAACTCCAGGCTCTCAGTGGAGACGGGGGTGGGGGTGGGGGCCCTGGGTTCCTTTCTCTGACTTTAAGGTCCACTACCCTCAGGGATCAGTATACTATAGCGTCCACCTCCCTCTAGTATGCCCATGCCTAGCTCTTCTCTTTGGGCACTCTTGTGGAATTTGAGTAACTATCTCGCCATGGACACCTCATCTTCCTTTTGTGCCTTGGTACCTGTGCTTTTCTTGGGACATCTTTGGCCTAAATCTCTTTGCTAACTGGGTGTTGATTTTTATTTTTCAAACCCCCCCTTACTTGGGGAGCCACTAGGCGGCTGTGTTCTTGACCTTGGGCTAGGATTCTGGGTCTGAGTGGCTGTGGGTGTGTGTGTGCATGTTTATTTAGAATCTGCGAGGTCACTGCTGCAACTACTTTTGGCTGGGATGCAAGGAAAGGCCATTTTGAGCCAGTCTTTGGCCCTGAAACTTAGCAAGGGTGGCTGTGGGTCCTGAGGACTGGCCTTGCTGGGTCCTGGCCACGGCACCTCAGGTAGCCTGCCCAAGTCGTGTGCCTGCACCCTGGCCTCAGCCTGTCCACAGGCTCTGGTCACCACATCACTTCCCCAGCTGCTCCTCCTTAGTGCCCGCGGCTCTGGGAATGCTGTCTTCCCCAGGTGGCTTCCCGATCGGCTGTCTTATCGCTGCATCCTGTTTGATTTCCTCCATATCGGAGGCCCTCCTCCTAGTATACAGCCACTGTCTGCTGTTTTTGGGATGCAGGGTCCCTGCTCTGGTCACTGCCCACCTTGGTGGCCCCAGGCCTGGGACACTGAGTGGCTGAGTTATTGTTGTGAAGTGCCAACCCACTTAAGGCTCCGAAGTGTCCTTATAAGCACTGACAGCCAGGGCCACTTTTACCCCCAGGGGACATTTGGTGGCATCCAGAGGTATTTCTGCTTGCCATAACTTGGGAGGAGATGAGGCTATTGGCACACGGTAGTTAATAAATGCACCACGAAGCCCAGGATGGCCCAAGGGCCAGCAGTGCTGCAAAGAAACCCAGTTCTGCCCACTGCCCAGGGAGACCAGGGACCAGGTTTGAGCCACAAACTGATGGATTGTTTGCCCATGTTTAGCTCCTTGTTTGATGCCTGTGGCTACACTGCTGACCAGTCCCCATCTCTGTTGTAGCCCCAGAGCTTGCTCAGGGCTGCTCTATGCTGTACTCAGGGACCCGTCCAGTGGACCCCTTCCATGCCTCTCCTCACGTGGCATCTGCAGTGGGGGCACCCTCTCCCATCCTCCCCTCATGGGGTCCTGCTTCCCCTCAGCACTCTCTGATCCCTGACCCCCCAAGCATTGGCCGTGGTCCCTTCTTCCTCAGCACAGATGATGGTCAACCTGGCTTTCCCCATGGGGGGTTTCTGCACAGGTGGGGTGGGAACAGGGCAGAGGCACTTACTGTTGATGACTGCCGTAGCCAGGATGGATGCCATGCCAGCCTGCTGGGGCAGAAGCTGGATGTCGGTGTGGGCGGGAGCTTGGCCCTCAGCCTCCCCCTGCTCCCTCTTCACGGGGAGAGGAGTAGGAGCACTCTGAGGTTCAGCTGAGAGGCGCACACTCAGAAGCCCGCCAGCTGGCACCAGCTTGGTGAGCCTACACCAGAGGGCTTCGTCTGTGGAGAGAGGGGGGCTGAGTGACGAGGGGGCCACAGTGCCAGGCCTATGACAGTGAGCTGAGCACAGACCCCCACCTCCACCCCCATGCTCAGTCACGTTTTTAAGATGAGGGTGTCAAAGGTACAGGGAGGAGAAAGGAATCCAAGGGCTGAAGGTATCCATGGCTCCGCAGCAGAGGGCATTGCTGGCTCGGAACTCACTCACTAGTAAAGAACCCGGGTAACTGCTTGGCCCCCTGGGTAAGTGGCCAGAGGGTGGCCGAGGTGGGAGTAGCTAGAGTAGGGGCCAGGGCTGCTGTTCCCATGATTGCCTGAAGAGGGCAGTCTCAGCCAACAGAACTCCAGGCAGCTAGGAGGAGCTTCAGAGACGTCTAGTCCGGCTTTGGGCTGCTGCTAGGAGTAACGCTCACTGGTGATCACGCTGGGCAGGGGAGAGTCCTGACTTCAGGCTAGCCTGCACCCAGGCCATGTTTACAGGGTCAGACAGCACTGAGTCCACTACCAGGTGGCCACTGGTCCAGATCATTCTCATGAGCTGCTGCTTGGCCACATGCAGCCAGAGCTCCCTAACCAGGAGGCTGTGTTTCTGGGGTGCCTCACTCAGGGACCCCACAGACAGGGAAACCGAGGTAGCTGGTCCCATGAAAGCCCAGGATGGTCCCAGGTCCTAAGCCTGGAGGCTGGGCTGGGGTTCTTGTACTGAGATCAGTGATCACCAGTGAGCATTGCTCCCAGCACCCCCACTGCCTGCCCCAGCACCCACCAGCCTCTTGGGAGTCGCTGGTGATACCTGAGAGCCGGCACTGGCTAGAGGGAAAGCGGGTACCCTGTTTTATGAGCCCCCCTGCCAGTCTGTGCCCACATCCCTTGCCTTCACCCCAGATTTCATTTGGTGTCGGTCTGAGGGGCCTGTTGGCATCAGTTGTAGCCCCCAGGGTCCCTGGCCCTCTGCCCATGGGTGCAGTCAGGATGCGGGCAGGAGAGGGAGCAGGGTGGCTGCTTCTCTTTTAAGGGCCAGCCCAGGAGTGACCCCTTCCCGAAGGTTGAGTGGCTGAGAGAGGCACCATGTGATACCCACCCTTCCAGTAGATCAAACTATTGGCCTCGGCTTCCGTTGTGGCCTGGGGCAGTGTCCTCAGCCAGCAGGTCTGGTCCTCCAGCTGCAGGGTCAGAGGTGGGCTCTGTGGAGGAGGGACACTGAGGTCAGTCATCCGATTCAGACGTGGTCAGCACAGGGGACGACTCCCCACCCCACCCCCACCCGGGCACTCTCATTATCATTTCTCATGTACTTGGTCACTGCACCTAGACACCAGCAGGGTGGCCAGCTGGGGTCATTAGAGGTACGTGGCCCAAGCCAGCCCACTGGACAGACACGGGGCTCTTGGACATGGAGGCCCGGTCACACAGCTGAGCTAGGACTTGCACCCAGATGTGCCCTCTCGCTAACACCTCCCTGGGCGCCCCGAGCTCCTAGAGGTGATGGTGCAGCCTTCAGGATGAAAGTGGGACAAGGATGAAAGTGGGACAGGGCCCTACTTAGATTCCTCCCATAAGGCCCCTCTTGTTGTTGTCATGTGCCGTGGAGTCGGTTCCGACCCATAGCGACCCTGTACAGGGTTTCCAAGGCTGCAAATCTTTACAGGAGCAGAAACCCTCATCTTTTTCCTGTGGAACAGCTGGTAGTTTTGAACTGCTGACCCTGAGGTTCACAGCCCGATTCGTAACCACTACACTACCAGGGCCCCTAGACCTCCAAAATGAGCTGTCAGCCCCAAAGGAACCCAGAAGGGATTCCGTGTCCCACTAAGCCTCTTCTGGTGGCTCCCCAAGCCCAGTGCTTCCTGGACTACCGGGATGGCTGCAGAGGACTTATCACAACCCCTTTCTTTCCTGCTCAGGGTACAGGCAATGGTTGCTTTTGGCTCCTGGGGCCCTCACTGGGTCGACAAGCACAGTTGGCCACCTGAGGACCTGGGGCAGTAGGAAGTCCCTCCCCTGAGGCCAACTCAGCCTCTAGCCCTTAATGTGGCATAAGGCTGGTGGGCAGTGACCACTCTGCCCCTCTCCAGCCTCAGTCTCCTTCCTGCACTGCAGGGGTCACCTTGAGCATCCCCATCCCAGTTCTGTTCAGGGATGGGTGAGGTGTGTGTGGGGGCGGGGCTCCCCAACATCTCCAAGCGGTGCCACCTCCAAAGACACGGTACATGTCCTGCGTTGGGATATTTTTTCTTCAGTTAATTTGTGTTTGGTCTTAAGCAGATAAATGCCTCTTCATAAGCGCCTTTCTACATTGCCCTGTCTAACTGCCCTGGATTGCCGGTTGGGGTGGTTCTGAGCCCCAGGTTCCTCATCTGTAGGTGTCTGATTCCCTTTGCTCCCACCCCCCATCCCACTGTGGAGATGCTAAGAGGACCAGGGGGGACCTCAAATTCAGGATTCAGGACCTGCTTGCTGAGAGCCAAATTCTGGTCACTGTCTTCCTGTGACTCAGTTTCCCCTTGGTGTTAGAGGCGTGTTATCTGTGTGCTGTGCTGGCTTCCACCCACTGGCCCTGAGGTTAGCCTTCCCAGTGGACACACACAGCTGGCTAGGCCTGTGGGACCAGAAGCCTCGTTTCCATCAGGCACCTGGTGGCCCCCCAGAAATGCCGAGGACTGCAGGGCAGGGCTGGACACCCCACGGGGTTCCTGTGTTTTGAGGTTTCTGCAGAGTACTGTCACTGGGTCACAGCTGAGGTCAGGTGGTGGAGTCCATCCCTTTCCTGTCTCCATGGTCAACACCCCGGCTCTGAGACCCCCGTAGCTCCCCTTGAGATGATGGTGGTGCCGGCCCTTCCCACCTGTCTTTCTGCACTTGCTAATGAATAATAATGAGCGGAGGAGGGGGAAAAATTAATCTCTCTGATCCCTGGATGGCTGCTGCTGTGGTAACGATATGAAATCTAATTATTCGTCCCAATATTTCTAAACCCTCAAACTGAGACTGACAGGCGGCGGGTCGGTTTAACGCTTATCACTCTGGGGAGCAGAGTGTTCCCAGCATGATAAAGACGCTCTTAACTCTGCTGACGCGGCATCCGTCCGCCCCGCATCTGTCCAGTGGGGGAGGCAAGCCTGCCATGTTCCCAGCTGGTGCCCAGTCCAGCTCGGCCAAGTCCCCTCACACCCCCCAACACGTAGGGGCACCTGCCAGGGTGGGGTCGGACACTAGTTCCGGGGTCTGTGTCGGGCAGGGGGAGGCAGGAAAGGGGGCCACAGGAGGAGGGAGCCCACCCAGGAGGCGTGTCCCTCAGTCTGAGCCTGAGCTCTCTGATTGGACCTGCACCCATACTTAGAGATGCACAGGGGTGGGCAACCTTTCTCCAGGGCCACCCTGACTGCCCAGTGTTGCACAAACCTCCTCTCCACCTCTGGGTGCTAGACCACCACTTTCATTTATGGGAGGCCAGTATGGCTTGCGCCTTGAAGGTGGTGGGGCCCACGGGCTAGTTCCTTGCCCTTGATCAGGTGGCAGATCTTGAAAGACCACCCAGAGACTGTGCCCACTCCCTCAGGTTCCAGGTCCCTCCCCTATGGATGCCATGTCACTCAGGGTCACCAGCTTTCTTGTCCCTGCCCAGAGCCCTCTCTGGCCAAGGGACCCTAGCTGCAGGGCGCCAGGCCTGGCCAGGGTAGGACTTTTAACTGCTCAGAAGGGACACAGCCTCTCGCTGGCCAGGCGCCCCCAGGTCCAGGTCTGCCCCGGCCCTGACTGCTCCCTCCACCCACCCCTCACCTGTCTGGGGGGCCAGCAGCCACTTTAAATTCTACTTGGGTCTGAGAACGCTCCTTGTTTCCCCAACAAAGAGGTCAGTGTCTGCATCTGTGCTGGGCCAGATAACCATCAGAAACCCTATCTCCACTGCATCCGCTCTTACAACTTTATGTGGGGGGGGCCTGATTCCAAACGTGCATCCCTTTGAGGGGAGGGGGCAGTGGGCGAAGAACTCCACCCTTAGTGGGGTGGCTGGCCTTCTGGAGCTCAGTGGGAAGTGCAGGGACGCCAAGGGTCACAGCTGGTTCACAGGAGGGTCAGGGGGAAAGGCTGAGGTAGGTGTGGACAGTGATCCTCTCACCTAAGCCTTCACCGTCTGTCCCAAGAAGTATATAGCAAAGGATCTTTCGATATGGACTCCCTCTGTATCTGCCCCTGCTCCCCTGCCTGCCGATCCTGCGGTGAGGGGGCCACAGAGGCCGAAGTAGCTGTGCAAGACCAGAGCCCAGCCCTCTGCAGCCTCCAGCGTATCTCCGCATCATCCACTGCACACAGGCCTGTCTACCCCCTCTGTCTGTCCATCCATTCCCCGACTCACCTACCCACCCATGCACCCAACCACACATATCCACCCATTCATCCCTCTGTCTGTCTGTCCTTCCACCTACTCATCTAGCCATAGACTACTCATCCATCCACCCCTCTGTCCACTCATCCATCCATCTACCCTACCCACCCACCTGTCTATCTGTCCACCACCCATCTATTTAACTGCCTAGTCACCACTCATCCCTGTCTGTGCATCTGTTCACCCGGCCACCTGTCCATCCACCACCTCTCCACCCTGTCCATCTAAACACCCATCTTGACTGTCTCTTCCGTATCAGAGTGTACTTGTGAGGTGGACCATCTACTTCAGTCCTTGGTCCTGCAGAGGTGAACTGACAGCCTGGTTCAGAGGAGTGACTTGCCCAAGGTCAGTGCCACAACATTCTCAAGTACTGGCCACGGCTCTGTGCACTGAGTGTCCTTCCAGGGGCATTCACCCTGACCTCCAGTATAGAGGACTGTGTCGGGAGCTATCCAGCCCATTCCCCGCCCCCCCCCCCGCCCCAGCTGTGAGTAGCCCCAGCCCTACAGGGCAGAAAAGACTGAGTGGGGAAGGGAGGTCACATCCGGTCAGCACCCCCTTCCTGCCCCAACGAATGAAGCCAGATGGGCCAGGGGCTGATAGGCCATATCTGAGGTAGGCCAGAGGGAGGGGAGAGCCGAGAACTGGGCCTCATCAGCCGAGCTTGATAAGGAACCTGCTGAAATGTTAGCAAAAATATTTAGACAATAAATGAAGTATCAGGGCGGCGTGCGTATCTCGGAGAAATCAATCATCTTGTGCCGTGTGTCTGGACACTTGGCGCCAAGGCAGAGATAGTGGCCATGCTGGGGAGATAAGGGTTAATCAAGGATTTAATTCTGCCGGAGATAAAGCGGGAGGGAGAGAGGGAAGCCAGCAGCTTCCTCCGAGGCTCCTCGTGGGGCCCTCGCAGCGCCGGCTCCTCACTGCCCTCGGAAGTTTCCCGCCTCATGCCAAGTCTCTCCAGTGACCCAAAGCCCAAGCTCAGGGACAGGAACCCCCAGGAGAGGTGGACACAGGCTGATGGCAGTGGAAGGGGTGGGGAAGGTGTCCGGTGGGGGAAAAGATATGTTTCCACGCCAGGCAGACAAGGCTAGCCTCCTAGTCTCATGAGATTGGGCAGTTGTGGCTATCAGTCCTCTGTCTCTGTTGTTTGATCCTGGGTGCTTTACCAAGTCCCCCAACCTCTCAAAGCCTCAGTTTTCTCATCTGTGAGATGGGGGCAGTGGCACCTGCCACAACGAACAGGTTGGAGGAGAAGGAAATGGGTGTGGCAGCATGTCTGGAAAACACATCTGTCCTTCTTGGGTGGGACTGGGTTGGTAAGGAGTAAGTGAGGGAAGGAACAACAGGTCTTTACCTCTGCCAGCCCCTGGAGAGGGATCTGGACCAGGGAGAACTGAGAGACGAGAGCCTGGAACTCCTAGCCCACTCCTGCCTCCTTCCAGCCGTCCCAAGAGAGCTGCCTGCTGCTTGCATGCCTCTACTAACGAGGAGCTCACTACCTCCAGAAGTAGCACTATACACCACAGTTTCACCCCACAGTGAGATGGTCAGGTTTCTTCCACAAAGCCAAACTCCACGGCCTTGCTCAAGATCAGGGCTCATCTCCCACTGGTCTACAAATTAACTCCCTTCCCAACTTCAGCATACTGAAAAGGAACCGTGTTCCCCACTAGAGGTAACCAGACCCACTTGCTACACACACACAAGGGGCCTCATGTGGGCCCAGAGCACCATCTTGGGAAGCCTCTTCCTGGCCGGGGTCAGTGGCACAGGGAAGGCCTGCTGTCTGTGAGACCCTGAGGGCAGAGGTGGAACATTCTCTGAGCCAAGGGTCCTGGACCTCAGGCAGATCCCCCGTGACACAAGTCCATGTCTGTGGTGACCACCTGACTGATCTTGGTCACAGACCATCCAGGCCTTCTGAGCTGGCCCCTCCCACCTTCCCAGGCATTTGTTTTTCCTAGAGAATCCCTCCTGTGACCCCTTCTCCCACTCAGCCTCAGCAAACTTGACTCATTGGCGAAGGTGCTTCTTAAAGACCTCCTTGGTCAGGAGGGTCCCCACGTGTCCCCTGACTCCCCTGAGGCCCTCTCTGGTCCCAAATCCCAACTCCTCAGCCTGTGTCTCCCCATGGGGTTCTTGTGATGCTTCCCGGGATATGTCCAGTGCCTGAGTGGGCATCGCCCTGGTGGCCGTATCGGGGTTTCTTACCGATTGCCCCTGCCTTGGGGGTGAGGCTCTGCTCTGGACAGTGCCGCGGAATGGGCCCCAGGAAGAGCCCTCGGTCAGGCTGCGCCGGGCACGCACACATTGCCGTCCATCTTCCTGCAATGCTGGCTCCAGCTCGTCTGTGGAGAGACCCCCAGTGAAAGGTGGGAGCAGCCCCTCTGGGCCATGGCTATGGGGGCACCAGCGATAGAACTTGTGGGCAGGAGCCTGGTCACTGCCCAGCAATCAGGTGGGCACAGGGTGACCAGAGATCCCCTTTGCTGCCTCACACCAGTCCTTCCTGCTGGCACTGTCAAGGAGCATTTCCCCTGAATTCACCGGGACTCAGAACACATGGGGTCTTCCCAGGAGCAACTTGTCTGGGATGGAGCGAGGCCCTAAACCCGACACCTGGTATCCTGGTCAGAGGCCAAGAGGACACAGACGCAGGAGACCGACCATGTGACGACAGCAGAGATGGGAGCAATGTACCCACAAACCAAGGGACACTAGTGACCCCGGAAGCTTCCCGAGGGCGTGTGGCCTGCTCACACTGATTCACACTCCTGGCCGCCAGCTCAGAATACTCATCTGCTGGTTCAAGCCCCACTTACGGTCCTTGCTTCATGGTCCTGGGGCACTGACTCTGCAGAGTCCCAGCGAAGGGGGCTGTGGACCCTCTGAGCCTTTTCCTCAACTGTACAGGGGACCCCACACACCCTGATTCTTTGGGTTGGCTTGAGGGCTGCATGAGCTCGGCTCCCTCGGGCTCAGCAAAGGTCAGGCCAGAGGAAAGGAAACAGAGGCTCAGAGCTGAACACTTGCAGGGCAAGAACGGCCAAGACAAAGGCAGGACCGCTGTCTGGGTACCTCCAGAATGCCCCCTCCTCCTGGGACCTCCTCCCTGCAAAGTCCTGGTTCTGCTGCGTCCCAAGCCACCAGCTGCCTCTACAGGAGGCTCAGGGCTGGGCTGGTCCTGCCTGGGTCCTCGAGGCAGCTGCTTGAGGCAGCAGGGTCCGCAGTAGGTGGTGGTGTCCACAGACCAGCAGGCCACCAACTCCTGTGACTTGCTCTCCCAGGGACGAGATGTACTCCAGGACCCCATGACTTGAAGGGCTACCTGGCCCTCAAAGGTGCTTCCTTGGGCGGAACCCCTCTGTCCACCCCTGGCCACCTCCTGCCTCCCTGTCAGTCCTGCAGCCTGGCCTGCTCTCCAGCCTGAGCGCTGGGCAGTGGCCCCACTTCCTGGAGCCCAGCTCCTCGGCAGACTGTGGCTTTAATGGGTCTGATGATCAGATAAAGCTGGGCCTAATGGCCGTGATAGCATGTAAATACGCCAGGAGGCCCTGCTAAAGCGCTTTAACTGGGTCTTTGTCTTCCCCCAGGCAGATAAGATGGCAGCAAACCAATGCCCAGAGAAGAGGGGAGCCCAGAGGGAGGCTCTGCGCCCCTTCACCTGCCCAGCAGACAGGCCACGCGGGGACGATTGGGGAGCTTGGTTGGGCTCAGCGGCAGTGGTGTAGTCCCTGCCTGCTCAGGGTAATCCCTCCTTCAGCGGCCACCTCCTGCGCTGCTTTGCCATGGAAGGGTTCACATACAGCTTGGCCTCCACACGCTGCTCTGCAGGGGCATGGGTCAACCTCTGAGTTGGCCTTCACGTTACCCTGCTTTACACACAAGGACAGCGAGACCTGAGAGGCCCCACAGCTGAGCACAGTGCCAGGATTTGATCCCGAGTTCCCACCATGCTATCTCCTCCTCAGGACCTGGACACCCCCCTGCATGCTGGCCCTCAGTGTGCTCTGCCGCTCGAGGGAGACAGATGGGAAAGGTTCTTGTCTATCTGTCCAGCCACTCTGCTTCTGAGGCTGCCATGAACAAGCCCCTCCTGCTGCTCAGGGCTGAAGGAGGGTCCAGAAGAAACATCTAGAAGAAGCAGTGTGGTGTGTCATCCCATCCTTGGTTCAGAAACATGTTCTGCTACCAAGGGCTCCTAATGGTGGAAGGTCTCCAGCAAGGCCTTTCACACCTTTCTGTTCATACACCTCCATGCACACCTCTTTTGCTTGTATGTCCCTGTTCACACCTATCCCTTTCACATCTCTCCACTCACATCTCTCTCTTCACATCATCCCATTCACTTCCTCCTTCACACCTCTCCGTGTACATGTCTCCATTCACATCATCCATTCACACCTCTCCTTTCACACCATCCCATTCACACCTCTCTATTCACATCATCCCATTCACATGTCCCTATTTCACACCTCTCCATGTACATGTCTCCATTCACATTATCCCATTCACACCTCTCGTTTCACACCATCTCCTTCACACCTCTTCCTTCACACCCGCTCCATGTACATGAGTCAGAACGGACTCCACGGCACACCACCACCACCATCATCACTCAAAGATGACTAATTTCCAGCCCCCAGTTCTTGTAACGACCCCACTCTTGGCTAAAACCAGGTGAAGCAGGAGTCAAAGTCCAGTTACAGTTCACCAAGACTCTCTCCCTATTGGGAGTAAAAGAACATCTGAAAGTGGGCAGAGGGTGCCAACCTGGTACCTGGTGGGGGCTCAGGTCAAGCTGCGAATGGATGGAAGTGTGACTGAGTGGGGATAGGGTCTGCTGAGCAGGGGATGGGGGCTTGTGGGGACAGGGAAAAGCAGGAGGACCTGGACAGTGGTGGCCACAGAGATGGCTAGCCTCAAACCACAAGACAGGATGAGAAGCGCACTCTCTGGACTCTTGGCACAGTGCTTGCTTAGTCTCCTGGGGCAGGGCTGAGCCTCAAAGTCTCCCAGGAAACAGGGGTGAGGTCCAGACGGCCCTACGAGCTCTGAAGTTGGGATTCCTTGCAGTGACGTTCCCTGTCCCTCCTAGGCAGCCTTGTTGCCTGTCTCTTCTCCCCCCCAGCTCCAGATTGGCTGGGGCAAGTGGGCTCAGGATGACCTGTGCTCCCCTGTGGCAATGCCATCTGCCCTGAGACCACACAGGGCCGGGACCAGACACCTGGCACAGTTTCAGGGCCTCCTCCAGCCATAGTGGACAGAGGGAGGACTGAGGCCCAGAGAGGTTAAGGTACTCATCCACGGATGCACAGTGCAGCAATGGCAGAGTCCGGATTTGAACCAGGGTCCCTCACCACTCTCCTCTTTGCCAGGCTGGCCCTGGGTATTCTGGTGGCTGGAGGAGGAGAGGAGCGGCGCACTCCTGAGGAAGAGGCACACTACTGGGTGAAGGGCATTGTAGGTGTGACTTCCTCTGAGGGAGGGGCAGGCCCTGGCTGCCTGGGAGGCTCCTGCCCCATGGGGTCAGCACTGGGGCAAGGGCTGATTTACTTAAGCAAACAACTGCAGGTGTTATTCCCAGAGCAAATACTACGCCACTGGGATTCAATTTCCCTCCCAAGCATCTTCAAGGACCCAAATGAGGAACACTTAGATGATTTCAATGTCTCTCAGTCGCGCGAACCTCTGAAGATGCCCATCAGTGGCCACGTCCACCTGCTGTCTTGAGCCTCAGTGTACTCATCTGTACAACTATCGCTGCCTGACCTGATGTGTCCATGACTGAGGTGAAGGATGGTGTGTCTGTCGGTCCTTCCAGCAGACTCTCCCGACAACCACGTCAGCAACACCTGTCAACACCAGCCATGGCATGTCTCTGCCCCCACACTGTCTTCTGCCCTCAAGCGGTCATTATGCAAGTCTGTGAGGCTCAATACTTACTGGCCCCCTCCACAGCTGAGGGATGAGGCCCAGAGAGCTCAAGCAACCTGCTCGAGGAGCACAGCATGGCACAGCCACCCTGAACCTTGTCTGCCCACCCATCTGCTGAAGCCCTGTGGGGGGGAAGGTCCAGTCCAACCTGGCGGTCAGCTCCAGACACATGCTGCCTAATGTCCTAGTCACCTTCCCCACCTGCTTGAGGCCCCAGCCTGAGTACATCCCTCCTCACCCGCCAGCCGGTCTCTGCGGCTGTGATACTGCCCGGCGGCCTCCTCAGCTCAAAGTCCAGTGACTCTGTGGTCTGCGTGGAGGAGCCCACCTGGGTCCCCACTGTGCCCACATATCTAATCAGCCATCGGTCTGCCCGGCCCGCCCTGTGACTCCGAGAGCCAGCTGGCCCCGGCCTTATCGGGGTGGCCATATCTCAGGATCACGCTGTTTGCTTTTGGTAAAAGGAAAGAAAAAGGAGAGTGGGAGGAGGGAAATGCAGGGATGGGAGTAGGCCCCACCTGGCTGGCTTCTAAAACCCCCATGGATGAGGGCAGGGTGGGCAGGCAGAGAAGGCTGGTATACCAGAGCACTGGCTACAAACATGTCCTGGTCCAAGTGTGGAAACTCTCCTCAGATATGGGCCACGTGTCCCCTTGTGCTTGTCCACGTACGCTGGGCACCCTCCATCCTAGCTCAGCCTGCTCCATACTGACTGGCCACCTGGCCAATCGGAGTGGTTTCGGGAGCTGACAGCAGGGGGCGCTGTAAGGCAGTTTGGCTGCAGTAGGTGCCAGGGGAGGGCCAGACGCAGGTCTGGGATTCTACCCACACTGGAGCCCCTGGGGAGCCTCGGCTGGACCAGGAAATGAGGGGAGATCCAGCCTGGGGACTGTGGGCAGTGCTAACCACGGCGGGCCTCAGTCTCCCCATCTGTGCAGTCGGGTGATACCACCCACCCTGACACTACCCCCTGTTTTCGGAGCGGCCTTGTTCTTTGCGCCCCCACGTTCTACGGCATTTGAGGCTGCACCGCTGGTGGTTGGGCCCCAAGGACCAGAGCCGTGGCGAGTGCATTGGAAAACGGCAATATGAGCCCATTTGTGGACCAGGGCAGGGGGGCAGGCTGCCCAGCTGACCGGCCCAGTCTGGGAGTGGGGGCAGCTGTTGTCCCAGGACAGAGGGCTATGCTGGCGCAGCGCCCACTCTGCTCTGCTTGTCTTCTCACCTCCTGGCCAGAAGTGACCTCCCCTGACCCTGGGCTCCAGCGGCCACCTCAGATGAACTACCCCCACCCTGTGCCCCTCAACCACGTGACCCCTGGAGGGTGGGGCCCACCAGGTACCAGGAACCAGAAGGCTGTGATGGGTGGGCGGCAGGTTGGGAAGTGTCCATGCCAGGCACCTGGAGCCCA